AAAGTCAGAAGAAATAAAACACAGCCTTATTATATAATATAAAAAAAAAAAATTGCCTAAAACAAGCTCGTATGAATTTTCCTAATATTTTTATGAATACTTTTAAAATCAAACATATATTTTTTTTATTCATGAAATTTACAACTGTATACAAATAAATATACATCCAGTAAATGTTATTCAGATTAATGCAATGGCAAAGACTTGTAGAGAATTTACTCATTGGTAGCACTCTAATAAAGCATCTAAATTAGGAGATCACTGGGCTACCTTCTTTTCAGACGCTTCGGATGGTTATGAGGGATCGAAGAGGAAGCAAGGTCAGAAACGAGAGGATGGTTCTGAAGTTTACTATGGAAGGATAGGTATCTGGCTTGGGTAAATTCGGAAACATGTGAAATATTAAGATCGTTATGGATGATTTTATTTGTAACAAAGTAAGGGGCATTGAGGATTTTACGAAGGATTTTGGTTTGTAAGGATTGAATATGAGAGGAATTCGATGGTTTAGTGGAGCCGCAATGCTCAACACCGTATGAAAATCAAACTTATTTTTAAAAGTTTATGGCTCCTTTGACTCCTGCTTCCAATTGATTCCATGCTAAATCCCCTCCTCAACTTTTTTCTGTGTTATTTATTTAAATATGGGACTTGACGATTTAGATTATTCCAAAATACTGTTCTCCTCAAACGGGTTACTAAGATTTGCCTGTCGTTGAACTGAACCTGATTTAGTAAATGAGTAAGGACTCAGGAAATCCATCCTGTCTCTGCACTCAGTGTTCAAATATTTACTGCAGCTGTGCAGTTAACACCGTTATGCAACTGTTTGTAGTGAACAAGTCTCATCTTGACACTTGAGCAACAACTGTTTGTTCTTTTTTTAACCATCAAAGGCCATGCGATATGAGTAGAAACGATTTATGTGTATCAGCGTCTTCTTAAGTAAGTTTATTTCTTCTCCTTTCTTATAGAAGTAAGAAACGTTGTAGTCCGAGGTATAGACCCTCGATTACAGTTTTTATAAAATTGTAAACACACCTCTAAATATTCGTCAGTGACTTCATTGTTTCGTAACCTACAGTTTTTTTTTATCTACGAAAATTCTCAAATACTAGAAGCTCACGAACACCCATTTGCTTTTGATTTAAATCGTATGATCATTCATTCCCAAAAATGAGAAAAAGATCTTACAAAAATATTGGGTCGTTTGGCCTATGCAACCTCGTTATTTTGACATGATAAGAGTTAAGGTCAAGCTAAACGGTTAAATGTTTCTGTTAGCCACCAAAGTTATATCCGCGGTACAGAATATTTTGTACTGTACTATACCTAGCACACTTTATGGGTTTATACCAGGCTAGGGCAATATATTAAATAAAATATTTTAAATATAAAATAAAACGCATTGCTTGTATTTTGCGTTTTAAGAAGTAAAATATAAAATAAATTGAAACTATATTTTCTTTTTAAAATACAAAATACAAATAAATGTATTCATATTTTATTTCCAGAGTACTAAACTACAAAAAATGTATTTTATTTCGTATTTTAAATATACAAAATAAGTTAACAAACAGATTAGATTTCCTGTATTATATGCTGACCATCCACCAGAAAGTATTTGTACTTTGTTTTTTTGTAATTAAAATAGGAAAATACTTTTAGCATTTTGTATTTTAATACATTTTCAGAAAACAATTTAAATACGTTCCAATTAAAATATATGATATTTTAAAAAATAAAATACTGTAATACTGTATCTTAAAATAATTTTAAAACTCGTTTTGCCCAGGTCTGGTTTAAACTTGTAAAACCTTTGTAGCCACAAATATACTATTTTGTTTAGTATATCCGCGTAATGTGTGTTTAAATTTGTTTTATCCTTTGTATAATTGATGGTTTATCAATATTTTAAAGACCTCTTTAAAGATGATGACTCATGTTTTGTTATTTATAATAACAAGTTAAATATCTAAATTATTATAATATAAAAATAGTTAAAATAATAATATTGAATATTTAATGGTTGACCGTTGCATTATAAAGGAAGGAGATGGTCCGGAGTTGCGGTCATAAAAAGGCTAAATAGTGGTAAAACTATTTTGTTGAAAGCCAACGTTTCGACCCGACTTTGCAGGTCTTCATCAGGGAGGTGTGTTCCTCTAGGAGTTTCACTTAGAACTGAATTC